AATTAAAATGCTCAATAAACAGCTTCACCCTCAGAAACCCACCAGCAGTATTAAAAGGCACGTTTCCCTCTGAAACAAAAGACAACTAAACATTAAACAGTCAGAAACTGGGGGGAAAAAACAAAAAAAACACAGATGGAATCGTTGGATTTTTAACCTTTTTGTACAAAAATATCCAATATACGCTTAAAAATCCTGATATTTTATCAAACTCACGTCATCGTACAGGTCTAATGCCAAAAGGACCTATCAGCCAGAAACTAGAAAAACATGAATGAATAATTGGATTTTCAACAACAAAATAAATACAATCTAAGCATAAAATTCAAATATTTCATCCAAATCTATTTATTTGACAGGTCTCAGGCCAGAAACTGGAAATGTGTCCAAAATGACAGAAACCATTGTCTGAAATGATTCAATATCTCTTTAAACTGGCCTGAATGAAAGTAGCCTAAAATCTTTAAATACCAATAGTATATCTATAGTTAAATATCTGTAGTATATCTATAGTGTATCTATGTTATATATAGTTAAATACCAATAGTACGTCTATAGTATATCTATATTATATCTACAGTTAAATATCTATATTTTATCTATCGTGCATCTATATTAGATGTAAGGATTAAACAACAAGGAGCCGTGCATTATACGGTTTGAATGCACACAGCGGAGTCTAAAACACCACAACGTGAAGCTATTTTATGCAGAGCAGCGTGATATAATAGTGATTTAACTTGCCAAACGAGGTGTGCGCATACATGGAAATAATGCACACCACTTAACAGTAGAACTCTCGCTGACCATAGTATAGCTATAGTTAAATATCTATAGTGCATCTATATTGTATATCTATAGTATAGCTATAGTGTATATATAGTACATCTATATTATATCGATAGTTAAATATCTATAGTACATCTATAGTATATCTATATTATATCTGTATTATATCTATAGTACATCTACAGAATATTTAGACCATATATTGTATCTGTATTGTATCTATATTATATCTATAGTATATCTATATTATATCTGTCTTACATCTATAGTAGATGTATAGTATATCTATAGTATGTCTATAGTATATTTAGACCATATATTGTATCTGTATTATATCTATTTTATATCTGTATTATATCTGTATTATATCTATAGTTTATTTATACTATATCTATATCATATCTATAGTACATCTATAGTACATCTATAGTATGTCTATAGTATATCTATATTATATCTGTATTATATCTATAGTACATCTATAGTACATGTATAGTATATCTATAGGTAAATACCTAAGTATTTCTGAGTTCTCTGGTTGTGCTGTCTCCATGGAGCTACAGGCTTTAGATTAACTTAATCTTGCAAACAATCTACACATAAGAAACTCTGACTAAACTTCCAGCTGTGACTGATCACACGTCCACTGGTTTGATTCCTCTATGTGTTCTATATGTTCTGGTTCTATATGTGGATGCTGATGGACACGGGGCTCCTCTAACCTCCTGGATGCTGCTCAGCCTTGTTGTGATGTTGGACGCATGAAGTTCATCTCATGTGCGACCCAACACACAGCAAGGCGACAAAAAGCCTCTACAAACACCATCTTTCACACACACACACACACACACACACTCACACACAGCCGGAGGTGAGAGTGTGTGTCCAGACGTGTGCTGACATGTGTGCGTTTCCTCCTATAGACGTGTGTGTATCACCTGAGTGTGTGTTTGTGGTGCGCTGGCCGCGGTCCAAGGCCTCTCTAACGAGCCAACATGGACGTCCTCCCCCCCGACCTCCTCTGAGGTCATCAGCTCCCACTGCCGCGACCCGACCAATCACGGCCGGCCGTGGTGACGGACAGCCGGCGGGCCGCAAGGACGGCGAGGGCGGAAGGATTAGACGGCGCTAATGAAGGATGGAGATGCTGATGTTTGCAGCGTCTGATTGGGTTTAATATTCTGGCTGAGGGACGGGTCCCCTGGACGGAGGAGTCGTCGCTGCTCGTTTTAACTTCAACTGAACACAAACGACTCACAGCAACAACACAACTTCCTTTGACAGTAGAACACCTATTGTACATTTTTGTTTATTTATCTGTATTTATGGTGGTGGTAACTTTATCTGTAACAACAACATGTCCCCTTGGGGAATAATAAAGCATTTCTATTCTATTCTATTCTATTCTATTCTATTCTATTCTAACACATACGAGGCAGTTTAATAATAAATATATGATTTCAACTGAACCTTTTTCTGTCATTTTACTTGTTTTGTTAAATTTGACATAACATCCAGTAAAACATAAAACAATAATAATTGACATATTATCCAATAAGAACCAAATCAAAGCTTGAACTTCAGGTATTTCATCAAAATCTATTTATTATACGGGTCTCATAGCAGGTTTTTGAACACATCCATCAGTAGAGTTCGCAGGAATATGAGCTTAAAGTTTTATTTAATCTAAATCACTTTATTCTTTTCACTTTGAGGAGAATCAATCTGATGTCACCAGACTCCATCACGACTCCTTCATTAATTAATTTACATATTAAATAAAAAGAACAAAGAAGTGTTTTCATTTTTAATTTTATTTTAATATCTGTATTTTTTTTTTAAATCGTCATTTGTTCTTTTAGTTACTCTATATTGTTTTACTGTATTTTAATCAGCAGCATGTGTCATTATTTTATAGATATTTGGCTTTCTTTGATCAAACATAATAATAATAATAATATTGCTGAACACATTTTTAAACTGGTTTTCCTGGTTATGTTAAATTACAGATAATATCAGTAAAATCGTGGAAAAAATGATAAACAATTTTTTAAAACTGATATAACCCTTAAAAAATGCGCAAATTCTACAAATAATGTCCAGATCAAAACATCTGTATTTTTACTGATGGTAAAAATGTGTACTGACTGATATTTGTTATTTTACAGAGTTTCTTGTTTTATCAACTTACAGAGATCGTCACGCAAAACAACAAAACAACAACAACAAAAAACTGGCTGATATTAGTCACACTAACATTTTAATCTAATGTTCAAAGAAGGTTTTTGGAGCGTTATGTTCCGGCCAGGTCAACATTTAACGGAGGATGTTTTGAGGATTATGCACTGCAAAAAATCTAATAATAAATCTGTAAAGAAGAAAAGAAAAACAGCCGTGGAAGTGACCGATGGCGGGAAAAACCCGTTAAAGTGGTTCTTGTTCTGCTACAAGCATCTGAACACGTGAACTTACTGACATGTTCCGGTCAGTGCTTTCAGCTGCATGTGAAGACGACTTTAAACCAGATGAGAAGGAAGACGAGAAGATGAAGTCAGAGACGTGAAGTCAAAAACCCAGAAACTGAAGTCCAAACCGCACCGGCTCATTAGCTAACAAGCATCCGCGGGCTCACAGATCTGCAGCGTCTAAATGTTATTGTGCTCGTGGTGTTGATTAAACATTTCACACGGCATCATGTCGGAAGCGAGAGGTGAGAAAGAAGTGAGACGCCAGAAAACAGGAGAAGCCGGAAGAAACAAAGAAACCTAGAAGACACCAGATGTGCAAAAGGAGGAGGCGGCCGGATGGGAAGAACATTTTACGTTCATGTTGTTCTGATCCGGTTCCTTCACCTGTTTAACGTCGTCTGGGTTTGAGCTGCTGAGTATCAAACATCAGCGTCCAAAGAGCAGGAAACCATTCACACACATCAGGACAAAGACAGATTAAAGGTTCATTCTGGCCCTGAAATCTCACAGATCTGATCTGGGCCATCAAGAACCTGAAAACAATCAAGTTCAAGTTTGCTCTGAACGTTGAGTCTTCCAGTCTGAACGCTGAATCAGACACTAACGCAGAGTGGATCCTGTCGACAACATGATCCAGCTGGTTCTGACCAACCACCATCACACATGCTGATATGAGCCTGGAAAGTTTACCCAGAATGCACTTTGTAAAGTTTTCTCTGGTGAATGATCAGAACCAGAACCACATCCAGGGTACCAATGATTGTTTCTATGACTCTACGTCACAGACATTAAACTGGTACCACGATGAGACATCCCATAATACTGATGCTACCAGCTGGTTATGGTCAGAAAATATTAAAAAGAAAAAAAAAAAGAGAGAGCTCAGATGTGTTTTCCATCAAAAAGTGGTCAAATGACACGAACACTGTCCAGAAATATTTGAAAACTGTTAAAAAATGTTCAAAATTACTTAAAATTTGTCCATTTTTTTGAGGGTCTTTAATTAGTGACGCCTGGATGGATGTAGAACTGATCTGGTGTCAGGTTCTACCAGAACCCAGATGTGTTCTTCCTCCTAAATGTCACGTGTCTATCTGCTGCACTGATGAAGTTCTGAGGCTCTGATATGATGGAAGAAGTCCATTAAAGTGATCAATCTGGACCCTCCTCTGTGGACTTCAAGGACCTGGAACTCTGGAACATTCACAGTCTGAAGGTAGAACTCTGGTCAGTAGATAAAGGTGCTGCAGATACAGAACCAGATGTTCTGAGGAGCTGTGTTCAGATCTGGTTGAGTTTATACTGAGTGATTGTTACAGCAGAGAAGTAAACAGGAAAATAAATCACAACCACTGCGGCTGCTTCATGTGTGTGCGATGAGCGAACACGAGTGGATTAATTAGCGTCATTACAGAGTGTTTGTGCTGCGGTATTAAAAGGAAAACATTTCCTGTCACTGTTGTCGCTTTCCTTCCGATTGTTTCCATTCTTCTCCCGTCAATAGAGGTGAACTTTCACGCCTCCGTGACAACACAGCAAACTTCATCAGCACTGATATGAGCTGATTTTCATAGATATTAAATGGAAGCGACGAGCGCCTCGGGGAGGACCAACACAATGAATCCTGATCAGCCGGAGCAGGATGTAGCTCGACACAAGTCAACAGACCAACACACCATCCTCTGGTGTTAAAGGAGCGTCCAGTCACAGAGCAGCAGACACACAGAGCAGGTGAGCTCCTACCTGTCGATGATGACGGGGTCGGACGGCGTCTCGTTGCGATTTCCGCAGCTCTTCTTGTCGCAACACCGACTGTGGAAGGAGACGACAAACTGAATTAGCACAACATCACCACACAACGTTGACACGACTTTTTACGTTTATACTGGAAAAACTACAAGTTGGAGTACGCCAGATGTTAACAGCTGTTCACGGGTCAATCAAGTTTCCTGGATAAAAACAAGTCACAGAGCTTCAGCAGCTTGTTTACAGACAACAATATGATCAATCTTTAAAAACACGTTTGTCTGACACAGCATGTATAGAAATGTGTTTTATTTTGTTTTAATAAAGCGGTTTTAATTTCCTGAACAGTCCTGTAAAACCACACATAAGGATTTCTTTTGTTTGCTTGTTTTAAAAAAGTATTTTACAATTTAAAGAAAAAAAAAAAATCTATTATTTTACAGATTTTTCAGGCTTTCTAGTGAAAAATAATTATTATTCATAAATCGACTAAAACAACCAAACCACAACTGTAAATATCCACATAAAAATATACAGTTTTACAAACATCAACGCATTCTTTAGAAACTTTCAACCATAAAAAGGAACCATTTAAATCAGCAATAACTACTGTTCTGAACAGATTTTTCTTAAATTACAGATGATATCTAAACAATTATAGAAAAAAATGTTAATTTACACTGTAAAAATAAATAAACAACAAACAAACAGTAAATCATATCCATATTTTAAAAAATCACGTTTTAAAAAACAACAACTTTTTTGTTAAATTACAAATAATGTCCAACAAAATCACAGGAAAAAAAAAAAAGATTTACATGTTGACTGTAAAAAACAAAACAAAAACATCTGTATACAAATAATAATTAGCTTTTCATATGAATTATGTTTGAATGTAAAATGACAGTTTGACTGTATTTAAATCAGCTAAAAATGTGATTATTTTACTGATTTCTGCAGCCATTCTCACAGTTTTTTAAATGTTACAGTAGCTTTTTGCCTTTTTGCCATATATATTTTATTCATTCATAAATGCAGGGATGTTTGTGCATGTACGTGCACAAACAGAGATCAGTAGACAAACGAAAAAAATTAATAAATGATTTTTTTTACATTTTTTTATAAGGGGGCAATAACAAAACAACACCTAATAAACACATACATTAATACATAAATAAATAAATAAATAAATACACAAATCAAAATTCATTTTCAAAGTTCATCATCTGGAAAAAGGAATAAATAAAAATAAAAATAAAAATAAAAATAAAAATAAAAAAAGCTCAGTTGGCCTCATTAGGAGAAACAAACTGCCCCACACCTTCTTCTTGGTGTTCATTACTCTATTGTTCCTGCCTCCTTGCTGCCCGTGTTGTTGAACCCGTTTTATTCTAACAGTGTGATTGTGTCCCACCATCATGACTCCTGTAGAAGCAGCCTGGTCTCCACTCAGCGTCCAGCTGGGAGGCTCCATGCCAAGGTCACTCACAGTTGGACGACACCCAGCGATGGAGCCCCCCCTCCCCCGTCCCCCGTCCCATCGCCCCTGACAACCAGCCAGCCAGCCAACTGGACGGCTGCTCACCAAACAGCCGTCCAGGTAGCCAGAGGGCTCGGCGGCCGGCGAGCACTCTGTCAGCCGCCGCCAACGATAAACCGACCAGGAGCTGGGGGTCCGGCGGGAGCCTGAGCCGGAGGAGGAGGGACCGGTGGAGCCAAGCAAGGGTTCTGGTTTGGCGGGTCAGCGTGTCGTGTTGAACAGCAGCGGGCCCGATCCAGCACATTAATATCCATCAGACGCTAACAGCGAAGGATGCCGGAGAACAGCTGAGTGATGGAGGCTGGACGCGCCGACGGCTGGAGGCGGACCCTGAACACACCACGAGGCTCAGGAGGTAACACGGTGAACATTTGAAACCCACCTGAGTTTACAAACCCACGGTTAACGCAGGGCAGCATCGTGTGATTTCTGTTGCTTTGAGTGACAGAAAAGAGTTTTAAAAGCCTCCAGATGTCTCCTGACGTCCACGTTAAAGCCTCAGCCAGAATAAACGTAAAGAAACTGTGAAACTGTAAAAACACAAGCGACCTGAATAAAACTCAGTCTCTCTGTGATAAAAACAAGTTGGTCATTTCTATCATTTCTTTTCTCAGCAGTTCATGTGTAATGAGTCCAAGAAGCTTGGCCAGTTTTATGTTTGACTTTTCTATTCTCGTCTTATTTGTGATAAATTATATATAATTTTCAAATTTTACGTTTCACTACCTATTTCCATATTTCTATTTTGATTAAATTTTATTCTATTCTATTTTATTTTATCATATCTTTTCTTGCATTCTTTGCGCTGCCACCGTGGCTCTGGATGTGGGGAACGCTGTCACCGTGTCCTGTCCAGCTGCAGGAGGTTCAAATGACAACAGAGGCCTTTGGACTTGACAAAAATCAACATTTCTGAACTACTTTCAGTAACATACTTGTTTCAGACACTACATTTATTCTCATGTTAAACATCTGCTGCAGAAGTTCCCATCAATGTGTGGCCCTTGCAGGTCGCTCTGCTTTCACTCTTCGGTCCAGTTCATCCCAATCCAGCTCCATGGGTCCAG